CCAAGTCAGCTCTCTTGATCCCCTGTGTGTTTTAATAAAAATGTCATTACTAGAAGCCATTGACACTGCTGGTGTGTGACACCAGATTCTACTGCCTATTGTCCCAGAAAATGATCCATTAGAGATAAAGCCAGCAGCTCAATAGTCTACCCTGGGAGCATCCTTCCCTGTTCTGGCTGCTGCTATCTTCGCTGCAGTCTCTGTCTGTGTCTGTCCCACCCACGCAGGCATAAGAGATGGGATTTCCCGGTGGAAATAGACAGGCTTCACTCTGTGCCAGCTAGGCCAGGCAAATGCCTGGCTAGAAGCTCCTTTTAGCTCAGATGAACTGAACCCTTTTTCTGCAGTGATCAAATTGGGGTACACAGAATCCTGTTCCCTCATATGGAGCTGTTTGCAACCCCCACTGTCTTTTCCATGTGTGTCAGATTCTCTGTGGCCTCTCCATAGAGTGGGCAGTGGGTGCCCAAATTCAAGGCACCTTGAACACCTGTCCAGGTTTTACTCTGACCTGTAGGGTCTCTCCTCTTGTGACTCAGCTGCAGTGACTTCTTTGCTCACACCAAGACGTCCCCTTGCTTATTCTCCAAGGTGTCCCCTGGTGTGGCTAGGGTGGGGGTCACCCATTCTTGCCTTTGTGAACACAAGGGGGAGGTGTCTCCCACTCTTGCCTGAGTTCCTGTTGCTAGAGGACAGGTGGCTTTGAACTCCCGCGTGGCATTGGTTTACTTCTCGGCAATGTGCTCTTGGGTCCCTTCTGCTGTCAGCAGTCCACGTGCTGAGACTGGCTCAGTCCTGCAGGGGCCAGTTAGCTCTTGCCATCCCCTGAGCAGCCCTGTCTCATTTCTGCAGTATTGTAGAGCTGGTGAACTTGTCTGGGATGAGACCTAGCTCCCATGGTTGCAGATCACTTCTTCAGTCTTGCCTTGTTTCTACTTGGGAACACAGTCCTGCCTGTCCTGGCAGTCAAAGGCTTTTATGTGCAGTGACTTGGTGGTCTCTGTCTCTTTCTCTGTCTCTGTCTCTCTCTCTTTCTTTCAAGATCTCATTATGTAGCCCTGGCTGGCCTTGAACTCACAAAGATCTGCTGCCTCTGTCTCCCTAGTGCTAGGTTTAAAAGTGTGCTCACCATGGCCAGCTGGCTTGGCATTTTGTCCAGGTTCATGTCTGGAGCAGTTTCTAGGCAGCCCTGGGGATCAGTTCTCCAGTCTGGTTCCCCACTGTGGCGCTGGCCTGTCACTCGATGTGCCCCTGTTGACATTGTTTTTTGTTTGTTCTTCCTTTCTCTTCCATTAAGAAATCTTGGCCACTGCCCCTAAGTCAATTGATTACACCCAGCTTCCTGAGTCTATGGGCAGATGGTGCTGTGTCTCCTGTGGCCAGGGCCACAGCCTTTTCCAAAGGGAGGCCTATGACTTGGTACCTGCTTCTCTGATGGGCCCAGACCACTTGAGATTTTGTTTGCAGCAACTGACACACTGACCTCACCCTTAGAGCCAAGATGTTTAAACACATGAGGATTGATGTGTCGTCCAGTGATCATCAGATCTGTCTCCGCTGTCTTTGGCCTTTGTGTCTCAAGCAGAGGGCCACGTTGACCTGCTCCCACTGGGGCCTGGGCAGCTTCAGACTCATGAGGAGGGAAAGCCATCCTGCTAGACTGTGTGGACTGCAGAACAGGAGTTGCCCTGTTGTTCACAGTCCAGGGCTTTGTGTCTGAGGGTGGCCTTGACAAGTGAGCTCTTGGAGCTCTGGAGAGGCACTGCAGTTGAATCTACGGTAACATCCTGGGCTATGGCAAAAGTATACATGTGTGCGTGCATATGTCAGGGGCCTTCACATGACACATCGTGGCCTCTGTAGCAAGATGAAAATGCCCTGTCCCATTTCCTAGGTCTGTGCAGGTTGCTGTTGTCCGGAGCTCCTGCCTAGCACTGCACAGGCACTGTGGAGTCACCACCCTTATCCTTGGCTCAGCTGAAGGATGATCTCCTGTCCCCTGCTAGAACCATCAGTGGGGACTGAGCAGGATGGTCCCCAGCATGGTCTAGGAGCTTGGTGCTCAAATGAGGCTAAAGGCCTGGCAAGGTACCCCACCTGTGGGAGCTAGGCAGAGGCCACCAAGGCCAGGAGGCTTGGAGCATATTAGAGCAGCTGGGACACAGGACCTGTGGCTCACTGTCACCCTGGTGAGGGGCTCTGTGCGAGCCTGCTCCCCACCAGGCCTTTGTGCCCCTTCCTGACACACTCATTTAGTTTTTAACTGGCGAGGCTTTTGCTTATTTATTTTCATTGTTCTTGATAATAATTCTGAGCCATTAGAGGGGAAAATTATATTCAGAAACGCTGTTTCTTGCTTTATTTGTTTGATGATTTAGAGCGATAGAGAGCAGCACAAACGCTGGCTTTTATAGTCTGGTAATTATTCACATCCATCAGCCCTTCCGGGGGGATAAACAGAACACCGCGGAAATTGCACTAATAATGGTGGCCTCCTTCGTGGGCGGGAGGCAGGCAGTAGGGCAGGAAGGGAGACTGGTGTGTCCGCTGAGGCCTCTTCATCTTATTGCACCAGGGCTTAGCTGCTCAGTTCCTCCCATGCTGGAGGCCCATGGCACCCTGAAGCCTTGAGATCCCCCTACTTACTTGAACCTTTACTGTACCCTCAGGGCCATGTGCCATGTGTTCCCCTGATGGCCCTGGGATACCCCACTCAGCACCACTCAATGCCTGGCCCAGAGTTCACACCTCCTGGCCTCATGTTGAAGCACCTGGGGTGCCTGTGCACCCGGTTTGCTCCAGACCGACTTTCACCACATGGCTCAGTCATTCCCAGAGTCAGGCATGGTGGGTGCAGATAGGGCTGAGTCACTGCTCATGCCCCAGCACAGGTTTGTGGGTTCAATTTAAGGTTTGAGGAGGCAGGACTTGCCTTGGAGGTAAGGGGTCAGATCAGCTATACTTCCTGGAGACCCCAGATTTTGCTTCCCTCTAGATGTAAGCTCCCTTTTGCCCTTACTCAGGCTTATTTCACACAGTGTCACCACTGACTGGGGAGTGCTCACACCAGCACCCTCTCTCAGGGCTGCATCCAGACCATCACAGTTCCCCTAACCCTATGTGCAGGCACAGAACTGCTGTTCTGATGGCCAGTGCAGTCTCCGGTACGGTTGCTAGGGAGACCAAGTCTGTGGAACATGCTAGAGACACAGAACAAGATTGTCTCTGCTGCAGGTGTCTGTGAAGTACTCTGTGGACAGCAAAGGCTTTAGAACTTGGAGGTGGGTGCCAGGGGACTATGGGGACTGTTCAAAAGGATGCAACCTGCCTGACATGAGGTCTCTGGCCTGTGCATCTCCTAGGAGGCCAAACTTCAGAATCCCAGGGCCTTGAGTGACCTGCTTAGTGTCCAACTTGAAGCTTCCTATAGCCTCTGAAGGGCTCTCCTGGACCCAGTACACAGCCCAGGGCCGCTCAGTGTCCACAGAGCCCAGCTTGCTGGAAGCTTCTCTCCCATGCTGAAGCACCCGAGGATGTCTTGGGACAGGTGAACTGGCTTGGTCCAGGCAGGGATAGGCTTTTCAGCTGTTAGTGGGGACAGGGAGTTCACATGGAGCAGTGGGTGTGGGTACGTGTTTGTGTGCATCGACACATGTGGGAAGGAGGAGGTGAGGTGACCAGAACTGAACAAGAGAGCCTGGGTCAGTCTGCAGCACGACCATGTCTGTGCAGATGTGGTGCTGTCTGGGGCACAGCTGCTGGAGCGTGCTGCAGGGAGTGGAACCTTGTGGTGGGGGCACCTGCCTGTGCTGCAGCTCTGAGATGATGTCGTGGTGCTGGGTGACAGTGGTACACAGTTCCCAGCCCAGACTGCCTTTGCAGAGCCGAGCCTGAGTGTCAATGATGCCCCAGCAGAGTGCAGGTCCAAGGCTCACTGAGAATCTGCTCTGGAGCCCACAGGAGCTGTGGGAAGGTTCCTTCTGCACTTGGCTGTGGCCACCAGGAACTGTCCTTCATGATGGGCCTGGCCGCCCTGATTTCTGCAGCCTCCTCCAGGCTCAGCCCTGGACCCTCACCCCGGCCTCAGCTTGGAAATCATGGTGTTCCTTGGCTGTGGCCTGGAGGCTGGGCACAGTTTTTGTGGCCTCATCTGTCTGCAGTGAAGCATAGAGGTTCCCAGCCCACTGCTCTCTACCACCCATCCACAAGCTTGTCTCCCCAGGGCCACCCTTCTGCACCTCTGGCCAGTGGCCTGCAGGCTGCACTTCCCGATAACGCAAGGCATGTTCCAATGTATTAAACTTCCAGCAGCCGCCAGATTCAATTAATCTTATCTTTACAACTCCTAATTGCAGGCACTAATTAAGTGGAAGGTGCTGTGTACTGGGGATGCGGCATTCATCATTGCAGCCAGAACTGGGAATTGGTTCCTTCCAGGCCTCTTGTGGCTTCCCAGAAACCTGTCCCCCACCCCAAATGGCTCCCAGAATCATGGTGCTTTGAGCTGTACAGAACTTAGCATTGCTGCGTGAGTGATAAGAGACCTGGACAGAAGTGAGACCTCAGCTTGTCCAGACGTGGAAATTCTGGAGTTACCCTAGAACTGAGGGTGCCTGGGTTTCCTTGGACAGAGTCCTGGGGGCACATGAAAGTTCCTTATTGGGTCCTTTATAGATGTAGTGATGGTGGTGACTGAGTCTCCCACCACCTTTTTATTTCATTGGAAAACTCCTCGATTCTCAACTGTTCTGGGCTTCCTCTACCGTGGCTCCTATGTCTTCTTGTATCCAGCCCTGCCTGAAGGGTACTGAGCCATGCTCCAGCCTTCTGTGTAAGACCCCCAGTGTGACAGCCACCATGTCCGAGACTCAGCCTGTGCCTGGCCTTGAAGTTTTCCACTCTGACTCCCTGCCTTGGGGGACAGCCGTGTCTGCTGTCCATGGGTGTGGACTGTGCTGGCCAGAGGTCCTGGGCTCTGATGTGCCTCCCTTCTCTCATAGGTACGCCATTCCACCGGAGCACGGCAAGCGCCTGGAGCGCCTGGCCATAGGTAGGTATCTGAGCCCCGGTGGGACAAGGACAAAGATGAAGTGGGCAGGTGGCCCATCCAGGTGAATCTCACTGTGCCTGTCTCCTGGTCACACAACCACCCTGCAGTCACCCCTCTGAGCTGTCTCCTTGGGGTGATGGCAAAGCTTTGAGTACTGGCTGCCAGAAAGGAATGAAACAGCCAGGGCTCAGGCAGCAGAGAGTTGCCTGCTTGTGACGTGTGTGTGTGTGTGTGTGTGTGTGTGTATGCGCGAGTGTGTGTGGTGTATGCGTGTGTGTGTGTGTATGTATGTGTGTGTGTATGTGTGTATGCGCAAGTGTGTGTGTATGCGTGTGTGTGTGTGTGTGTGTATGCGCCCGTGTATGTGTGTCCTCCTAAGGACTGAAGTGACAAGGCCTCTGCCACCATGCCCAGCTCACCCGTTTCTTTGTCAGGTGTAAGTCTGTGTGTGGGAACTTCAGGACACGCATATTGAGAGGCGTGAGTCCTGACTTCCTGAAAGGTCTGTCTGTCCTTTGTCATCCTCAGAGCAGCCCTGGCACAGACTGTCAGTACTGAGAGGGACTGCTCATGCAGCCTCTCTGATGGCCTTGGTGGGCAGTCAGGGCTACGGCAGCCCTCGGTGGGCAGTCAGGGCTATGGCAGCTCTGAGTTTTCTGGAAATTCTCCTCAGCCGTGCAGCCCTCAGGAGCCATCTGCTGGAAGCCCATAGCTGAATGGCGCTCTAGACACCTCCCACTGCAGTGTTCACAGTGTGGGCATGAGTGAGGCCTCTCTGGGCACTGCTTCCCAGCCCTGCTGTGCCCAAGCACCACAACCTTGGTGACTGTAGACAGCCTTGCTTAGAGTCCTCAGACCATGGTCATAGCGAGTGTCCTGGGAGTTCTGTAGCCCACCCCTCTTCCTAATCTAGTGCAACAGCAACCCCCTCCTGCCTCTCTCTGAGGACCCATGAGATTGCTGGGTCCAGGGTGATCTAGGATCCTCCTGACTCAGGGTCTTTCACTAGAGCCATCTACAGAGTCCCTCCTGACCCTGAAAGTGATGCTGCAGGTCCTGGGGGGTTTCCTGAGCGAGCTGACACTACTTATAAAACACAAAGGAAATGTTCTTCAGCCACCAGCTCAGGACTTGGGAACCAGCTCACAGTTGCTACCCGGCCTCCACTGACAGTGACAGTGTCTCCTCTCTGCATGTGAGGTGGTTCTTGCTCTGTGGCCTCCTCTGGAGACAACAAGGCCAACCTCAGAATGATGAATGGTTAGGATTTCAGTGCCCTCTGTCTTCCCCAGTAGCCACATCCCCATTCCCAGGGCCGGTAGGGGATGATGGTGGCACCTTGCCTTCCCAGAAGGTGTTGTGCAGAAGCTGAGGAAGGGGAGAGCCAGCTGCAGAATTTCAGTCCTGAGGCTCAAGAGTGGTTGCTTCAAACATCTGGCCTGTAGGACATGGTGGTTCACACCTTTAATCCCAGCACTCAGGAGACAGAGACAGGTAGATCTCTGTGAGTTCAAGACCAGCCTGGGCCACTTAGTGAGACCCTGCCTCCAAAAGAAGTTTAAAGAACCAGAAGGGTGGGGCACCTGCCTGGAACCAGAGGAAGGACTGAGCAGTCTTCCCAGGGGAGTGGGGAGGGTGGGGACAGGCCAGGGAGGCCAGATGCATGACACAGCAGTGTCTGCAGGAGGCCACATGTAGCTCCCCCACAGCCCTGGCCTTGGCAGTCCTGAGACCATCTTTGGGCATGCACCACTGATGCCACCCACAGCAGAGTTGGGTGGAGTGGGCTCACGGTTAGCACAGAAAATGAATAGCTGAGCCGTAAGTGGGCATGCGGGGAGAGATGCCCGCGGGAGAGCACTAATGTGGGGGCGCTAATCACTTCAGATGCGAGCCTTTATTAGGGACCTAATGAGAGCCACTTAAGCTGTGCATTAAAAGGGGACGTGCAGCTGACGGTGGCGGCAGTCATAATTTTAACCAAGGCACTTCTAGCACCAAGAAATGGAAAGATGGGAACTTGGCCCTCTGGAGCCTGCTCTTCTAACTTAGCCCCCTGCCAGCAGCAGGGCCTCCAAAGCCCTGCTCACCATGCACCCATGCATGTGTCTGTGGGCACACACACATGAACATGTGCTCTTGAAGCAGAGACTGACTGGGCCATGCTGTCCTGGAGGCTGGGGCATTGTGTTTGTGTGGGCTTCTGGAAACTTCCTCAGACTGAGGCTGTGGGCCTGTTCTGCCATCACCCTCTGCTTTGCCCACAGCAGATTTGTGTGGCTCTAGCTGTGGTGGGGTGATGGCGAACAGGCATCTGATGACACACAGGCCGGTGTGGTGAGGAGCCGGTCTAGGGGCTGGGTGTGCCCTGCCTTGGTTGCTCCCTGTGCTGACCATCTTGGCTTCTGTAGTAATGGTTCTGAAAGGGTGTGGCCAAGTCCCAGCCTACCCTGGGCTTCTGGAGGGTTGTCCCCTTCCCACTGGGAACTGTACATTTCATCCCAAGGAGCCCAAGGCCAGGATCTGCACTGGGACCCCAGGATGTGGTTGAGCTGTGAGACAGCCATCCCTGCTCTGAGGCAAACGGACCATTTTCCTGGGGAAGCAAGGGGGCCACAGTGGAAACATAGGCTGCTCCCTGTCCTGAGCTCACTTGTGTACTGGGGCCTCACTTTCTCCTCTGGACTACTGAGATGCTGGGACCTGGAGGCCGCTCATAGGTGACTTGACTTGTCTCTTGGTGCTAACCCTTAGTCTCAGTCTTGCTCCCGTGAACTGCCAGTACTCTCCAGGGGGTGCCAAATGCTCTCTAGGCCACCATGCCCACCTATATGGTTCTGGGGTACTGACCCCCAGAAGCTGTATGCTCAGGTCACCTGAGAGGTTGTCCTGTGAACAGGAGGGACTCCTAAGAGCTTGCTGGAAAGGTGTCTGTTGGGCAGTCACACGAGTGGCAGTTGCTTCTGTCTTCCACACTTCTGGGCTGCAACGTGCTGCAACTCACTCCACTGAGCCCAGGACTGAGGTCCCAGCTCAGTCCACTCCCCAGGACGAGGCCAACAACCACTGTTCCCCACACTGGCACCCACTCTGACACTGCTCTCCTTCACTCCAGGCTTCTTCCCTGGGAGCTCACAGGGCTGCGATGCCTTCCTGAGGCACAAGATGACACTTATCTCTCCCATCATCCTGAAGAAGTATGGCATCCCCTTCAGCCGGGTATGTACAGGTCCCAGAAAAGGTCCTAGAATGGTAACCACCACTAGTCTGGGCAGGTGGCCTCTCATCTTCTGCATGGGAAGTGGGGGAGGGCACAGACAAGTGTGGGTTTCGCAGGGTCTTCGCTGTCTCCAAACCACAGAGCCCTTTGCCCAAGTGCAGATCCCTGACTGTCTGGGCCACATCTAGTGTTAACTGCTTACAGCCAACAGGGTGGCTAGTCACAGGAAAGGTGTTCTGCTAAGCAATGGGTGGCTCAGCCTTCCTGAGCATGGAGACTGAGCTCATTCAGTGTGTCGACTTAAAGGCTGTAAAGGAGGGGTCTGAGGTGGGTGAGTCAGCCCTGTGGCAGCTGCTATGGGGACAGGTAGCAGTGGGCTTTCTATTCTTGGATTGACAATTTTGTATACCTGGGACCTCAGGTTTCTTCAGGCAACATGGGGCACATCCCAGTAGGGAAGGCCAGCCCAATTGGGCATGCATTGACAGAGGACACAAGCTGTGTGCTCTGGGGATGAGGGAGGGAAAGGGCCCTTGGGACAGATGTTTCTAAAGTTCTCTTTGAAGAGCAATTTGTCAGCCCAGGAGCGGGTTCTATGAGACCCCTCACTCCATGCTCACACAGGACATCAGCATGTTGGAAATTGTTCCTGACATTTCAATCAAGGCACCCGCAGCATCGCTGTGTTCTTCCTGCTGGTGCAGCCTGGAGGCTGCTTCCGGCTCTGGCTCTGAGAAGCAGAGATTCCACTGTGAGGTGACAGCGTTGTTGCTTGTGGAAGTGAGAAGTGTCTGCAACCAGCTTGTGGGGAATGTTCTCCAGGCTAGTGCTTCATGTACAGGGACCTCCGTGTACAGAGTAAATGCCTCGTCCTTCCCCCAGGCGATGTCTCAGCAGCACCGTGGATTGCACATATGGTGCCCAGCCCCAGGCAGCCGGCTCACAGGGGCTGCTCACACTGAGAGCTATGCTCCCCACACTGCTGTGCTGCGTGTCTGGGACCTGCTTGTGGGTGAAGGCATTTGTCTGGCATCAGAAGGTAGCTGCCCCGCCTGGGGATGGGACCTAAGGGCAGAGCAAAGGCTAGAGATGAGCATCCTCTCCTCCATGTGCTGCGGGTCTCCTCATCAGAATTCCCGTCACCTTCCCTGTAGATGAGCAGCTGCGCACTGCACTTGTGAGTCTGTAATGGTATTTACTTTTAGAAGGGAAAACTGATCAATAGCCAGCTTGTTAATAATTAAGAGTGTGCATTTCTGTAATCTGCCATCGACTTCCTCATCTGCCCCGCGTCTCCAGCTCTCTCCCTGACTGGCGCCGGCCCTGACTACTGTGACTCTGCTGGGACAACAGTGAAGGGAGGCAGCTCAGCAGCGTGGGGGACACAGTACCTGTGATGTCTGTGACAGGAGCCCAGCAAGACTTTCTCATGACTGATGTCTGCCCAGGAGGCCGAATGTGACAGTTCCTAGCATGTGCTCACTGTGAGTGCTGGACAGTGGAGAGCACCATCCAGCAGTGAGCTAGTGTCACCACCACTCTCTGAAGGAACATTTGTTAAAGCTCCAGACCTTCCTTCCCCTTGCCCACTTAGAGCTCACAATGAAGAGGCTGCCGGGATCCAGGGGCACACCTGTGTCTTACTCCACCACCTTTCATTGTGCCATGAGTGACTGTCACTTGGGCAGAAATTTTAAAACATAATGTAGCTGACTTCCCTTGATTGACAGTTAATTATTTGAAAAGAAAAATATGACACATTCTCCAGGGCAGGCTGCGGTTTTGATGGATTCTTTGAACAAGTGGCTGATGCTACAAGCCTCCCACCATAGTGTCCACTCTCTGCTTCCCAGAGCTGCCAAGAGGAATCCAGTGATGTGGACTCAGGCCTGTGTGGAACCCAGCTCAGCTACCCGGGGTGAGGGGCTGGGGGCAGTTAGAGTAGTAACCACTGTGACTTGAAGTGTTCAGAGAGAAGAAACCCCTGACACCTTCTCAGTGCGATCATTGAGCCACCAAGGCAGGCACCGTGGGTGGTGCCATCCAGGGGGACGCCCTGAGCCAGTGAATCTCCTGTGTGCTTAAGATAAGCCAGGGTGACCAGAGTCGCATAATGAGCCAGGCTGAGGGGCAAGGCCTCACCAGGTCTCTGGAATCTTCCTTCTTTGTTGCCACATGTCAAGCTCGGAATTGCAGACACCTGCACTCATGAGACCTTCCTGCCTGTGCAGTGGACGGTGAGGACCCGGCGGCCTTCGAGAGATGCCGTCCTTCTTCCTCCTGGGACCTCAGTTTCCCCACCCCAGAAGAAGCTGGCCCTGTCTGTCACTGCTGCGCTGTGATGCAGCCTGTCTCAGGGACTGAGCCCACAGGCCGGCAGGTGCTCCAGCGTGTTAGTGGAGCTGTGGCTGCTGGCCCCAGAACTCACTTCACGGTGATCCATATGCGTCAGTGGTGCCATGTAGGGCACTGTGCATGCAGGACATACTGCTTGTGTGTACTCCGGCCTGGCCTCAGAGGCTAGAGCAGTCGGTGGCCCAGTGCTACCTTGTGGTAGATGATATCCCTTAGGCTGGGTGGGATGGCCAAGCCATGGTAGCCGTAGTGCAGAATGGGGAACATTCTGCTTGCCCTGTGATCTTTGGTGGCCAGGGCTTGGAACCAGGTCTTTCCATGTAGTTCAGCTTAGTCTCAAACTGGTGACTCTCCTGCCTCAGCCAGCAAGCACTGGAATGACTGATGTGTTCCACCACAGCAGCTCTGCTCTGTGGTTGCTTGTTTGAAACAGTGTCTCACTGTGTGGACTGGACTAGCCTGGGACTCGAGAGCCTCTGCGTGCTGGCTTTAGAGGTGTGCACCACATGCTCAGTTCTCTCTCTTTCTCTCTCTCTAGCTCTCTCTTTCTCTCTCTCTCTCTTTTTTTTTTTTTTTTGGAGGGGGTGCAGTTGAGACAGGGTTTCTCTGTGTAGCTTTGGAGCCTGTCCTGGAACTCGCTCTGTAGACCAGGCTGGTCTTGAATTCACAGAGATCCTCCTGCCTCTGCCTCCCAAGTCCAGCTTTCTTTCTAAAAAGCTCTGTTTATGAATGTTGTGGCTGTGAGTACTAAAGGATACATGCTAGGGTCTGAGGATAGCCCATAGGAGTCAAGTGTGAGTGTGAGGCCTGGGGACATGCTAGGGTCTGAGGATAGCCCATAGGAGTCAAGTGTGAGTGTGAGACCTGGGGACATGCTAGGGTCTGAGGATAGCCCATAGGAGTCAAGTGTGAGTGTGAGGC